CACAGTGCTATCCCATACTTGGTACCCTATAATGTAGGAATGAGTAAATCATTTTTTGTTAGACATACAGTTATGTTTATAGCTGTATATATTAAAAAATAAATTGCCCGAACAAGCTGTGTGACAAAACGCCCCCCCCTCCAAAACCTCTGCTGTCTTCTTTGTTTACCATGATATCCACCTGTCTTTATAACACATCCATTCTTTGCCTGTTCTGTGGGTTATGGAATAGCCCTGCAAGTCTGGCACAGGCTCTGTCAGAAGCTGGTGTTTTAAGAGGTTATAAGAAAACAGGTATTAATCACCTTCATAAGAATTTTAATGAAAATTGGCACTTCTGTTACAATGGCATATGACAACTGCCTTTCAAAAATCTGTTGCATCTGTGGAGGAACAAAATACATCTTCCCATTGTAATAATATCTGTGTGACAAGACTAATTTTCTATTAAATTGAAATAAATTGGCAACTATTTTTTTATGCTCCATTCTCTTTCTTTCCTTTGGAAATGGACAAACACTGATTTAGAATAAACTCAAAATATTCTTTATACAATAACCCCTACTTTAGTTATAGTCCTAATTGTTTCAGCTTGCCTAGCAATTCAGAAAAAATAAGTGAAGACTTCAACTTGATTCACCAATGGGAGGGAAAAAAAGAGAAAGTTAAAATAAAAAACAAAGATTAAATGGGCTCTGCAGTGCCCAGAGTATGCTGGTTCAAAGATTCTGAAAAATCAGTAATAACAGCACAGGACTGTGCATAGGAAAAATTTGGTTCATTACATGGTCTGAGTGTCCAAATTACATTCATGTAACACTGAAGATTAAATCAATGTGATCATGAAATCTCCTGAAAGGAAATGCTAACAAAAGCCATTTATACAGTGCACACAGGCTGCTGTCATATATTTAGGGTTTTCACACTTCTTTTGTGCAGCAAACCATTGCTATCTGCAAGAGTTGTTACCAGAATATGAGCTATATTTTCTTAATCTTATTTAAATTACTATATGACTACATATGGGGAAAAACAAAATCCAAAAGAAAAATAATTCCAGGCAATGAGGACTCACACTTGACTAGGCACTCCTTCAGGATGGTTTTGATTATAAGGATGAAAGACTAGAAGTCAAAACAGAGATTAAGAATAGAGAGAGGGTGCTTAGAAAGGAATAAGAGATGCATTGGACCCTCTTGGATTTCCTGAAGGGAGGCCTACTAGATGGTGGTGACCCAGATGAAAAATATGTCAATGTGTTATTTCAGGATAATTTTTCTATTTGAATGGGACTGTTTAGTTTCTGTGGACAGATCTACAACTTACTGGCTGGTAACTCAGGATGCATCCCAAAGTCTGATGCTCCTACTGTTCAGACCAGGAAGGCAATGGAGCAGAGGACATCTTTCATCCCTCAACTGTATGAAGAGGCTCCCCATCCATGGTACACGGCATCCTGGAAGCAGACTTGCCCCTCAGGACATGGCTGGGACATGAGCCTGGAGAGAATACTGCCAGCTGCAGGCACCTGAAGGAAAGAATATCCCTGAATTCACCCAAACCTCCTGGACACAGCAGGTCACAGACTGCCTGAAGAGTGTGAAACTTCCAGACTATGACCAAGACAGATAACAGCACTAGACTCTGCAGGTATATTATTCCCCACAAGCACATATATTCCTCAGGATATGCCATTCTTGTGCAAAGTCATGTTGTGTTACCTGAGCTGGGCCAGAGTGTCTTTGTACGTCACCATGGCAGTCACAGTGTCAGACAGAGATCCTAAGATCCCGGCTCCCAAGCCAGCACAGCCTGACCTCTGCTTCCTGTTCCAGCACTAGGCTGTTCTGTGCTAGCTTGAGGGTCAGTAAACATCTCTATCAGCAGGTTCATGAGAGACAGAAATAAATAGCAAGGTAGTGGTACAAAAGCTCTTTAGCTACGACCTGTCACTAATTTTTGCATCTGGTAATCTTCATAGTGCCAGAGATTTTAATAAACAGAGATTTTCCTCTAAACAACCAGTGTTCTGTTTCACTGGGTGAAATCCATGCCAATGCCATTTGCCCTAATGACGACAGTCCAACATCTCAGGAAAAAGTGGCAAACTGGCAATACAGGATACAAACATTAGCTTGTTTATAATGTGTTATAATTGGAATGGAAATCGTTCACAAATTAAATAAGTGAATAAACACAGCTCTCCAAAGTCCTAAATTAAAATATTAAATTGAAAAGCTTGTCTTTGCCATTTGTGAAACAAATGTTAAAACATTTGAAGAAAAGCTTTTGCATTTTTATTGCAACTGTTCTAAATGGAAGAGTGACAGATGATGAAACACACCAAACATATTCAGTCCAGATCACAGGGAAGTATTTGTCACACTACCACATAAGAAATCACTGCATAAAACTGGAAGACAATGATCAGCAGCAAGGTGATATCCATTTTTAATCCTTGTTTAAAAGCAGGAGGGGCACCAGAAATATGAATGAATCATCTTGAGTCATCCAGCAAAGTTTCACAACCCTTAGCACAGTGACTGAGGTTGATCTGAATGAAGGATGGCACCATGCAGACTTGCTGAGTCCATAACTCAACAAGGGAGAAGGAAATCTTCCTTCCAGATTCCAATCATTTCCCAGAGCCTGATTTTCCAGAGGGTTTTAGGTGTATAGCAGTGTAAATAAGGACAAAGCCTGTTTTCCTAAAATTTCCCAGGCTCCTCTGTAGACCAACTCATCCCGCTGTTTTCATATGCCCTAGAGGAGGCACTTCTCTCCACTGACTGTACAGAGGACTTTAGAAGACTATCTTCTGTGCAAAAACCATCTGTATCTGGCATTTAAAGCTGTTTGGTGTGGCTCCTCTGACCCGGTGGCCTATATCCCAGTTTAGTTCCAACTCACTCCAAGCCCCACTGGCCTGCCTGCACTACTCAATACCTAACACCTTTTAAAATATGTCCATATGTCCCCAATGTCAACATCCAAAGATGGCAGGCATCCCCATGCCCATGATCCAGCAGGCTCCCTGAACAGGCAGAAGCTACCTGCTCTAGACCTGACACTGGGCATCACTCTTGTAAATTTTTTATACTATATCTTCATGTGGCTGTAAACCACAGAATCACGAAAAGGTTGAGGCTCCAGGGTGCCTCTGGGGGTGGTCTGGCCCAGCCCCACGTATCGAAGTAGGGTCAGCTAGAAGAGGTCATTCTATTGGAAAGGAAGGTGTAGCCAGGTGGGGATCGGCCTCTTCTCCCAGGTGACAAGTGACAGCATGAGAGGACACAGCCTTAAGCTGTGCCAGGGGAGGCTTAGGTTGGACATGAGGAGGAATTTCTTCACAGAAAGGGTGATTTAACATTGGGATGGGCTGCCCAGGGAAGTGGACAGTGCCTCCACCATCCCTGGAGGCGTATAAGGAAAGACTAGTTGAGGCACTCAGTGCCATGGTCTGGTTGACATGGTGGCATTCAAGTCATGGGTTGAACTCAATGATCTGAGAGGTTTTTTTCCAAATGAATTGGTTCTAGCATTCTACGATTCATTTTCACTGGTTGAATACCACAGGATCACAGAAAGGTTAGGCTTCAGGGTGCCTCTGTGACGGTCTGGTCCAGCCCCACTTCTCAAAGCACTGCCAATCGGAACAGTTCATTCAGGACCACGGAATCACAGAACTGTAGGATGGTTTCGACTGGAAGCAACTTTAAAGATCATCCAGTTTCAAACACCCTGCCATGGGCAGGGATGCCACCCACTAGATCAGGTCAGTGGGGAGCCCACCCAACCTGGCCTCGAACGCTACCAGGGATGGCGATGCCATCGTCTTTTGAGTTACCTCCAGGGGCAAAGACACCACAACCTCTCTGGGCCAGCCCGTGCCGCCGGCACTTGACCACCCCCACAGCACGAGGATAATTTCCATTCAAATAATTCCCGGAGGCTCCGGCAGCACGGGAAAAGCCGGCTGGTGCCTGCGGAGCAGCGGGTGGCCAGGGGACAGCCCCGGGCGCGGCGGCTCCTCGGGGGCGGAGGAGCGGAGCGGGGCGGGGGCGTCCGCCCCTTTTCCCCCTCACCGCCTCCCACGCGCGCACCTGCGCAGGCGCGCGGGCACGAGGCGCGCCCCCGCCCCTCAGTCCCTCGCTCGCGCCCA